GCGGTAACGCGCTCGCCTGGCATGCGTGCAGCCCGGGTTCGATCCTCAGCACCACATACAAAAAAACATGTTGTATCTGCCGAAAACTAAAAATAATTAAATAAATATTAAAAAAATTCTCTCTAAAAAAAAAAAAAAGAAACTTTTTCTTCTGGTGGAAGCTCCTGTAGTTACAGGGTCTTTCATGGTTCCAAAGAGGCCTTCCTTGTGCTTAGGAAGAGCACTGAGCACACACACATATATCTGCACATGCTTAGAATGTATTTATGTAACATATTGTACTGGGCACTGTTAGAGGCTTCAGGATACTGCAGTGAACAAGAGACGGATTTCTCATAGATCTGTCCTTCTGGGGTGAGGGGAAGAAACCATGTATGATTAGGCAAATGGTGATAATTGCCAGGGCGAAAAATAACATAGGAATGCGTGCATCAGAGTAAATGTGGTAACGATAAATGTCACTAGATAGTGCCAAAGTCCCTCCCAAAATGGCTTGTTGTGTTCCCATCTCCAAGGACTCAGCATTTTTAAATTCAGAATTTCAAGGCCACTTGCAAAGCCAGGCTTTGAATAGGAGTTTATACAGCCACAGGGGTGTCTGTTGCCTGTCAGGCTGCTGACAGCAGAGATATTTGTGTGTCAGGGAAAATCACGCCTGAGAATGCACCAAGTGTGTGTTGTTTGTGTGCATGTGCACACATGTGCACAAACATACATCAGAATTGTAAGTTCTTCAGCTGAGCCCAGTGTGTCTGTGCTCCTCTGTCCCCTCCAGTGCCGGTGAGGCCATCCCAGAGGCTGGCTCACTGGCTCAAGGCCGAAAGGGTGAAGGCTAGGCTTCCTGGGGGCAGGCTGCTTCCAAAGACTCTTTCCTTTTGCACTTGTTCCTTTTCTGACTAGGTTATTTTTTTCCAGAGGAGAAATCTCTTAATAACAAAATTGCTTAATAACATGATGCCTGTCACTCTCAGTTCCACAAAACATAAGTGGTTTATGCTGTCTCACGTCTCCCTGGGTATTTTCTTACAGTACGAGAAACATAAATGAATGAGTGTCTTCTAGAGAAACAGAATATGCTAGTTCTTTTATTTTTACAGACTAGAGAACAAAATTTGTTTTCTGTGTAGTTCTGTTACCTGTCATTTGACAGAAATTTAGACTTGCTAGGCAAGTAGGGGAGCAGCGTGGGGCCAGGGTAATTCATGTGCCCGTCAAGGCCGCTGGCCATGCCAAGCCTTGGTTTCTTCATCAGTCAGGTTGGTGAAGGAGTCCCTGTTGTCTGCATCCCAGGGCAGCTCAGAGGTTGCTGTGTGGGCAGATGATTCTCCCTGTACTTGGCAGGGTCAGGTCCCTGTGCAGTGGCACCCCACAGCGCCTGTCCGGCCCTCAGGGTGTCAGTGTGGATGTGGGTGCCACGGTTCAGGCCCTTGAGGACGCTGGGAGGGAGGGAAGCAAACCCAGAACTAGACAAGCCTGGCAGGGTGTGCTAGTTCATCCTGAGGGACGGGAAGGCGTTTGCTGCTGCTGAGCCTGCCATGTGCTGAGCTGCCTTTGTGGGGGTCACGCCAGGCTCTGTGGAAGAGGTGCCGTTTGTCAGGTCTTGGGGGGTCCTTGGGCCCCCGAGTCACAGCGGCACACCACCTCTGAGATCAGTTGCAGGAGTCTGAGAGTACGCAGTGGCACTGCTGGCGAGGGTCTTAGGAGCCGTGCAAAATAACAGAAAGACTCTTCAAAGGTCACTAGTGTGACAAGTTCAGGGCAGTCTTCTCACACTGGGAAGTCAGGCTTTCCTACTGCCTCGTGCCTTCTCGGGGTGAAGTAAGTCATTTGGGTATTTTTAGAGCTCTGCATCTTAAAAGTGTTCTTCCTCTCCAGACCCATCCCCAAGTTCATGTGCACATGTGTGCTTGTGAAGGTGGGGTCGTCCCTGTGGCAAGCCAGGATTCTTTGCAGGCTGGTGGCCCCTGTTGGTTGGGCCCATTGCAGGCAAATTCTTTTGCCTTTGTTTTTTCTTTTTAAAAAATATTTATGGGGCTGGGGATGTGGCTCAAGCGGTAGCGTGCTCGCCTGGCGTGCTTGCGGCCCGGGTTCGATCCTCAGCACCACATACAAACAAAGATGTTGTGTCCGCCGAGAACTAAAAAATAAAAATTAAAAAATTCTCCCTCTCTCTCTCTCTCTCTCTCTCTCCCCCCCCCCCCCCCCCTCTTTTAAAAAAAAAAAAAAAATCTTAAAAAAAAAATATTTAAATTTATTTTTTAACTGAGACATGAAGACATACAAATTGTACATATAATGAGGTAATTCAATACACATATACATGGTGTAATGTTTAAGAGAGTGATGGCTCATGTTTAGTCATTTTGTTTATCTCCCCTGGCTTTATCTTCTTGGCCTCTTCCTGTGCCCTTCCCACCAGGTTAAATCTCTCTCTCTCCTTGTTTTTTGTTTTCCCTTGGTATAGGGGCTCTTTACCATTGAGCTATGTTCCCTGGCCCCCCCCCCCCTTTTTTTTTTTAATTTTAAATTTGGGACAGTCTCTTGCTAAGTTGCAGAGGCCAACTTTGAACTTGTGATCCTCCTGCCTCAGCCTACCAAGTTGCTGGGAGTAGAGGCGGTTTATATTTCTCTCTTCAAATATGTATCATGTTTGTGAAGAAATTTCAAAATACTGTCTTCCAGCTTTTTGAAATGTGCGTGTCATTGCTGCCATCTATTGTCCTGCCATATAGTGGCCCGACCTTCTGGCTCCAGCTGGCCATTTCTGGTGTTGGTCGTGCAGCAGCTCCGCTGATGCTGGGGTGTGCTGTAAACACAGCACCTTGGGAGCCTGCTCCTTCTGGGTGGTTTGCGTCTTAGTGCCAGGTGACTTAGCTGGGGGCAGGTCTAAGGATGGTCCTTTAACTGGAGAGCCCTGAAGGCTGAGTCCTTCTGATCCCCTTTGTACAGCTTTTGTCCCTAGCTAAGAGGGTGTGCACAGGCTCTCCAGAAACCAAACCATTTCAGGGGTAAACCAGAGGTCACGCTGGTCCAAACTGGCCTCTTCTCAGAGACCTGAGTTCTTCAGGACACAGCCTGTGGTTGAGAAGTGAGATGGAAACAGTTGGCTTTTGCTACGGGTTGTGACGCAGGGACGTGTGTACAGGTGCACAAGTTACGTGATTGGCTTGTGGATGAGAGTGATGGGTCATGTTTAGTCACTTTGTTTATCGCCCCCGGTTTTATCTTCATGCCCTCTTCCTGTGCCCTTCCCACCCTGCCCCGCTCCCAGAATTCAACTCCACATCACTCTTCTGGTGATTGTGTCAGCGTCTGGGGAACACCGTGATCCTGGGACTTTTTGATCTCCCCAGCATGCACCCTCATTGTATTGGGTAGGCTGGGTCTGGACAAAGGTTTGCAGGGTTAGTCAGGTACATGTGAACTCCTGGTCGCCTTGCCCTAGCGCAGGTGCAGTGACTCTGGGTCATCTGGGGTCAGTTGTCAACACTGCAAGCTGAGCCACAGCTTGGTCTTGAGTACATAGGCCAAGGTATTGGCCAATCCGTGGGTTTTCCCTGGGAGCAGCTTGGGTCTGTGTGCATCCAGGCTTTGTGGGGTTTAGCCTCCTGGGTCTTTGGTCTTGTGAAGAAGGCTGTTTGTTGGTTTTGCTTAAGGTTTTCAGAGCCTTTATGATGTTTGTGAAGCCGCACAGTACTGCGTGGACTTTGGGATATGGTGGCTTGTGTAATGAGATTTGAGGACTAGGGTGTAGCTTCATGTCAGAGGGCGTATTAGCATGGGTTTGATCCCCAGCGCCTCAAAAAAGAAATGTTCCTGTGGTGTGATTGCAAACTCTGAAAGGTCACGTCACACCCCAGTGGCCACAGAAGTCCCCACCCCATCTACCTGAAACCCACACCACCAAGTTCTCTGTCCCTGACAGTGGCCTCACCATCTTCCTGGTCCCCAAAGCTCCCAGGACAAAAGACACATTGTCCTTTTGCCTCTTCATCCTGGGTCTCTTGCCACTATCAAGTCCTATCAGTTTTGGGCCTTCAGGTCTCTTTTATGACTGTGGTCCTCTTGTAGACCTCTGTCACTTCCTGCTTCCCTGGCCTCCTCGAGGCCATAGTTCTCCCTCTCCACTCCTCCCTACCACTTCCCAAGATCTGTCCATGGTACCACTGCCCAGTTGATCTTGAAGGCCTGCTTTGATCACCCCTGCTTCAAGAATTTTTTTGGGGGGGCTGTGGTGCTGCTGTTGCCTCAGGCAGGCTAGGCACGTGCTCTGTCACTGAGCTGCACCCTAGCCCTGCATGGGATTTAAAATCTCTCTCGTCGCCTGGTAATGGGGTATGTGTCTCGCCACCTGGTAATGGGGTGTGTGGTTTCTCTCCTCTGTCACAGTGGCGTATATAATACAATTCTAATGAAAATAAACAAAGAGGGACTGGGGTTGTGGCTCAGTGGTGGAGTGCTTGCCTAGCATGTGCAAGTCCTGGGTTCGATCCTCGGCACCACATAAAAATAAATAAATAAATAAAATAAAGGTATTGTGCCCAGCTACAACTAAAAAATAAATATTAAAAAAAAAGAAAGAAAATAAACAAAGAAGTCCAGGCTAACCTTCGAGGGTCAGCTGTACATCAGGTCCTGGGCTGGGGGTTTCTGTCTCGTGTGGTCATAACATATGGGGATGGTTGGCGATGGGACTGAGGCCAACTGACAGTAATGTGCCCAGGGTCCCTTGGTGTGTTGGTGGCAGGGCTGGGTCAACTTAGAAGGCTCAGGTTCTTTCATGGCTCCACTGAGTGGTAAGTTTATTGAATTTTTAGTTCCACGCTCTCCCTTGCAAAAACAAAAACCATGAAAAGTACTAGAAACCAAGAGCTAATAACTGATTTTTTTTTTGGTACCAGGGATTGACCCAGGGGCACTTGGCCACTGAGCCACATCCACAGCCCTGTTTTGTTTTTTTATTTAGGGTCTCACTGAGTGGCCTCACACCTTGCTTTTGCTGAGGCTGGCTTTGAACTTGGAGTCCTCCTGCCTCAGCTGGAGGGGTCACAGGCGTGCACCACCACACCCAGCAAGAGCTCATAATTGAGAGAAGGACCCTGGGAGGTAAGTAATTGTACCAGGAAACAGACAAGGGAGACCGTTGTGATCAAGCACAAAATTCAGCTCAGTGCTTCCTAGAAGTCGAGGCAGAGGAGCATGGGCTTTTACTGTGAATGAACCAAAGAACATTCCAGAAGCAGTTCTATTGAGCAGCAGAATCACTTTTATTGGGCTTTTATGAAGGGTTATTGAATGAAGCCCTGGGCAGCAGCCCTGTGCTCAGCGAGTGTTTGCAGAGCCTCTCTAAGGTGCTGGGACTGTACTGTGCGTGGACAAGGCCAACAAGGTGAAAGAAGGTGGCACAGGCCCGGGTGGAGGGACCCTTCTAAAGAAGGAGGAGTGGTGCCCCCAGGGAGCCCTTCCTAGGACCCATCCAGGCACCGGCTCAGGGCTCAGGAGTAATACAGCAGGGGCAGAGCTCCAGGGATGGGAGCAAGGGAATGAAGCAGAAGGACACATTGTAGCAGGCAGAGATAAAGCTTAGGGATCTGGGACTGGGGATAACAAGAGATGCTCTGCCTGAGTGGGAGGCGTGAGTCCTAAGTGGAGGTACTGAGTGCTTAGTCCCTCCCACAGGCAGTGTCCTGCCATTTTGCTCTGCCAGGAGAAAAGTCTGGCTTGCCTTTCTGCCCCTTAGTGGGGACCATACCATGGAGCCTGGAGTAGGGGTCAGTGGCTCCGGTCTGGGATATCTTGTTCGGTATTCAGCACATGTGAGCATTGAGTGCCTGCGCTGCGCTGGACCTAAGAGAGGCGAGAGCGCTGGCTACGCAGCAGCCTCTCACGTGTCCTTCTCTAGCAATTATTTATTTTAAACAATACTGTCATCTGACAGTAGGGCAGGCTATCAGCTGTCATTGAAGGAGGTAGCATCTGTCTCTGACTCTGCCTTGTTCTAAAAAGGTTTTGAAGAATGATTGACAGAATAGATCAGTGCTGGTTGGTCTGAGTTTGAATCATGCTTCACCGTGCATCAGTTTCCTGTGTTGGGCAAGGGTTTTTAAATATTCTTTTTGGTAGTATTGAAGATTGAACCCAAGGCCACTTCACTGAGCTACATCCTTAGACCTTCTTGTTTTATGTTTTGAGACAGGCTCTTGCTAAGTTGCCAAAGTGGGTCTCCATCTTGGGCAGGGTATTTCACCTTTGTGATAAGGACTTCTGTATACCTCAGAGGGCTGGGGGGTCTGTGTGTGGTCTCCTTATGCTGGGATTTAAATCTAGGGCCTCGTGCCCTTAGAGTGTAATAAGGGGGAACTGAAATAGTAGAATATCATAGCAGGTACTTAATATATGTTGTCATTACGATTTACATTTATTTAGAAGAAAATGAACGGAGGAGTCTGTCCAGGAGGTGTGGAGTGATTGAGGAGGACACTGGGGTGAGGTGGGACCTGGCTGTCAAGGCCCTGTGGATTTGCTTGGTTTCCTGATGTCCATGGCAGGCAGGGGAGGGCATGCCCTCATTTTCACTCTGTCCATCAGTTAAAGACAAATCAGGAATGGGCATGTTTACATCAGCTTTTTCATCACTGTGACCAGAATTCTGACAAGAACAACTTAGAGGAGAAAAAGTTTATTTGTGGCTCATGATTTCAGAGATCTCAGTCCATAGAGGATGGACTCCACTGCTCTGGGCCCATGGTGAGGCCGAACCTCATGGGGGAAGGACCCAGGGAGGAAACCGCTTATCTTGTGGCAGAGTCAGAAAGCAGAGAGGAGAGAGAGAAAGAAGCTGTGGGGAAAAAACTTCCAGGGTACCCTCAGGGACCCACCTGCCCAGCCATGCCCCACTGCCCACAGTCTCCCCCAGCCAGCTGGTCAAACCAGGATAGACTGAAAAGGTCACTGCTCTCCCAATCCAGTCATTTCACCTCTGAATGTTCCTGCATTAACAGGAACTTTTAGGGGACACCCCATATCCAGACCATACAGGCAGTGACTGCTGATGACTGTGAGGTTTCTTTTTTGGGGTGCTGAACTAGTTCTGGAGTTAGATATTGCTGATGTTGCATAATTGGTGAATAGGCTGAAAACCACTGGATAGCACACTTGAAAAATTTTTTTTTAGACATTGTTGGACTTTTATTTTATTCATATATTTGTATGTGGTGCTAAGAATCGAATCCAGTGACCCACACATGCTAGGCAAGTGCTCTACCACTGAGCCACAACCCCAGCCCCTGGATAGCACATTTTAAAATGGTGAGTTTTATGGCTTGTGAGTTCTATCTCAGTGTTTTTAAATCGGGTTTATAGGTCACAGGCTCTGCCCCCAGCTGCACAATCTTGACCAAGCCCTGCACACCTGCAGCAGGCTCGTTCATGCTCACGGGGTGCTTCTGTGCTCGTTTGTTGCTGGGCCCTCTTGGGGTAGACCGTGGGTGACGGCCTGTGAAATTCAGGGCTGGGATTCCCACAGCTGTTCCCACACAGAGGTCCTGGAGGTGATGCACTGAGACCGTTGAATGACAAGAAAGCAGCTGCTTGAAGTGAGCCACTTCTGGAGGCAGCAGAGGGACCCACTGTCCACTCTGCTGGACAGTGCATACGGCTAAGCGTGAGGTCCCTGGGATGTGGGAGAGTGCTCAGGGGACTTTCACCTTGTCCTGTGCAGCTGTGGTGGAGATGGGATTCAGGTGTTCTTTTCCAAAGGTTCCTGTATTAGAGGCTTGGTCCCTGGGTGGCCATGTTGGGAGGTGGTGGCATCTTTAAGATGGATCCTAATAGGGGGCTCCTAGGTCAACTGGGAGTGTGCCTTCAAAGAGTCTGTGGGACCCCAACTCTCTCCTGCTTCCTGTCTGAGATGAGGTCTCCTCCTCACTTGTGTGCTCCTTTCCTGCCATCTGCCCTGAGGTCCTGCCCAGAGCCGAGCTGCTTCATGTCCTTCAATCCCCAGAAGTTCAGAGCTAATAAGCCTTTTTTCTTATAAAGTTAGCAAGCCTCAAGTTTGTCACTGTAATAATAGTGGGAAAAGGGCTGATACATGGGGTCTGTAGGAGTTTCCTCCCAGCCCCTCATCCGGGTGTTCTGTGGGATATGGTGGGTGTCTTTTTGAACTGGAAGCCACAGCAGGTGCAGTGGAACTGTGGCTTCCAGGTCCCCACAGCTTGCTTCAGCCAAGTAACCGCTCTCTCGGCAGTGTCCCTCTGTTGGGGCATTAAGCCAGCAGCTGCAAGGAGCATCTTTTTTTTTTTTAATTTTTAGGTGGACACAATATCTTTATTTTACATTTATGTAGTGCTGAGGATCGAACCAAGTGCCTCGTGCATGCCAGGCGAGCGCGCTACCACTGAGCCACAACCCCAGCCCTTGAAAGGAGCATCTTTTTGCTAGAGGACATTGTCTTCCTCCCTCAAAAGAGAGTATGATCGAGGCAGTAAGCTGGCTTGGATGGTGGTTTGCTATTGATTAGCCTCGTCAGCTATTAATGAGTGTGGAGGCTTTTATAAACACCCGGAGGCAGTCCTCTGTCCTGTGGCAGCGGGAGCTCATTATTAACTAATGTGTTCATGTTGCAGTATTGAAACGAGTCTTTCCAGCAGCAGGTCACAGGGCTGCCCTAGAGCTGGTGCGTGGCACACATTGGCTTGACCACAGCCTGCCATGTAGAGCAGTGGCCTAACATCACGGCACATGGGGCTGGGAGGGGTTGAACGAGCAGCATCTGAGGTCCCAGTTCAGTGGTCTCCTGGCCCGGCCCCTTGGTAAGGTCTGGACCTGGTCTTCTTGCAACAGTGCCATGAACTCCTGGTAGCAGGGGAGGCTGGAGCCCCTTGCTGGAGCTGCCTCCGGCCCAGCGGTCCTCCCTGGCCCAAGAGAAGCTCATGTTTTGCTAATGACACAGCCTGCTGCTGCCTCCCCTGGGGTGACAGTAGCCAGCATGAGAACCACTGGGGCCATGTAGGCCAGGATGTGGGTCACCTCTTTCTGTCTTGGGTGGCAGATGATAGCTAGGGTCGCAGCAGATTTGTCACAGAGTGTCCCACAAGGTCCTTGCGTCTTGTCCTGGGAGTGGCTTGCTCTGGGCCGGTGTCTCTCTCCTGCAATTCTTTCTTCTTCTTTTTTTTTTTTTTTTTTTTCGTATCAGGGATTGAATCCAGAGGCACTTAACCACTGAGCCGCATCCCCAGCCTTTTAAAAAATATTTTATTTACAGACAAAGTCTTACTGAGTTGCTTAGGGCCTCGCTAAATTGCTGAGGCTGGCTTTGAACTTGTGATCCTCCTGCCTCAGCCTCCTGAGCAGCTGGGATTACAGGCACATGCCACCATTCCTGGCTCTCCTGCAATTCTGAGGGCTTGTGTTTCTGAGAACCCAGGGTCCTAACCCTTGTATCTTAGAGATGACAAGGAATCCAGGTCACCAGGCATTTATGGAACACTTGTCTGGGTAAATCCTCACTTGAGCAGTGAAGCAGACCATGCAGGGAACTGGGAAGCCCTTGCAGAAACTTGCAAGAGAGCGTGAAGGTTTTCTTTGTATTTCTCACCAAAGCCTCCCTAGTGCTACCATCTCGCATGATCCTACTAAAATGAACAGGAACAAGAAGTTAAGCATTGGTCAGGTGTAATCAACTGAGTCAGGCGCTGGCAGACTTGTTTTGTAAAGGGCCAGACAATGAATTCGGGGGCCCTGCGAGCCAAAAGGTCCTCGACAGCTACTCACCTGTTGTTTTTGCAGGAAAGCAGCCTAGACAGTGTGTGACCGAGGAGGTATGGCTAGTCCCAGGGGAACTGGCGATGGCACTAGTCCATGGGCTTGACCCATAGGCCGGTTCTGCCGGGCCCTGAGCTAGACTATGTGTGTGACTGGAACTTCACCAGTGCTCTTGCTGACGCTCCCTCTGCTCCAGGACCCACTTGGCGTGTACTCGCCGTTTCTGGCTTCTGACAGTTCCCTTGCCTTTCACAGCCGTGATGCTTTTGGAGGGTGCAGGTCAATTATTTTATAGACTGTCGCTCGATTCGAGTTTGTCTTAGATTTTCTCATGAGTGGAGTGA